AATGGAGTAAGACTCTGTCACAAAAATAAATAAATAAATAAATAAATAAATAAATTCAACAGGAGCATCTTGTGGCACTCTGCCTTTCAGTCTTCACACACCACCTGCCCTTTTCTCTCTCTTTTTCCTTTTTCCTTTTTTTTTTTTTTGAAATATGGTTTCTCCATGTTAGCCAGGCTGATCTCGAACTCCTGACCTCAGGCGATCCACCCGCCTTGGCCTCCCAAAGTGCTGGGATTACAGGGGTGAGCCACCATGCCTGGCACACCTGCCCATCTCTTAGCTTTAGACCGACTGTGCCCATGCTGGTGCTGCTCCTCCATCACACGTCCTCAGTGCGCCTGCCTTCGATCCCCTTTCCCTATGTCCAACAGCTGCGGTTGATAGGCCCAGCACTGTTCACTTACCTCGTGATTCCACAGTCTTTGTTCCTAAGAACACTCCAACCCTAGAAAGACGCGTTCCATATGCATGCACCAGTCATTTCATCACCACTTTCAGGTTCTTTGATCTGTTTCCTCCAATATAATGTTGTTCCCTTTGTAATTTTGACCTTCCTCGAACTCTGAATATTTACTGCATTAGCATCGTTGCCTGGAGAGCAGGCAGCAGTGGAGAAGGAATGGAAAAGAGTTACTGAACCGACTAAAAGTGGCCTTTTTCGTATCACAATGTGCCAGTGATTCTAAACACTGTCGGTGATAAAATATGACTTCTAGCCAGGAGGACTCCTTCCTTAACACCCACTCCCGATGGGGGAACTAAGGGTATTCATAGAACACTTTGAAACTCAACCAGAACAGACGCATTTAGTGGTAAAGGGGCATTATGTCTGCAACTAACTGTAGGAATCTTAGTACTATTCTTTCAACTTTCCTGTAGGCCCCAAATTATGCTAATATAAAAAAAATTAAAAAGATCAGAGCGGGGCGTGGTGGCTCATGCCTGTAATCTCAGCACTTTGGCAGGCCAAGGTGGGTGGATCACCTGAGGTCAGGAGCTCAAGATCAGCTTGACCAACATAGTGAAACCACATCTCAACTAAAAATACAAAAGTAGCCGGTGTGGTGGCACATGCTTGTAATCCTAGCTACTTGGGAGATGAAAGCAGGAGGATTGCTTGAATCCGGGAGGTGGAGGTTGCAGTGAGCCAAGACTGCACCGTTGCACTCCAGCCTGAGCAACAAGAGTAAAACTCCATTTCAGAAAAAAAAAAAAAAAAAAAGAGTTAAAAGGGAAAACAAAGCTACTGAATCAAACACAGCCAACAGCTGCGGACTAGCCCGTTGCTGAGTGCTGATGCCGGTCACCTGTTCCTGGGGAGAAGTTTTTGTTCTGAAACCTCCCTTTGATCATGAGTGTGAGTATTTATCAGTGGGGAGACCCCAGAGGAGCTTCTGTAACACACCCACATGTGGTTTGTTGGCTGGGAAGCCTGGAGGACTTGAGAGTAGCCTTGATTGCTCGGAAGAGTAGGTGATAGGAGCACCCCGGGGGCACACAGTAAGAGCTGGCCCCAGTCCAAGGTGGCATAAGGGACACACAGGCCCTAGACATGAGAGTCTGAGGCTTTTCCTGGCTTTCTCACTGTGTGACCTGAACTTGTCCTCCCTTTGACCACAATCAGAGGTTGGGGCCTGGTACACAGGCCGAACCCCTGGGAGGAGGTGGCCGGCTTCTTGTGCCCAGCTCTGTGCCCGAAACACTTGGGCTAGCTGTCTCTGGGAGAGGTCAGGAACAGGTCTCACAGCCCTCAAGGGGCAATGGGCTGGACACACAGTCCCCGGTTGCCCACTCCAGGAGCAGGAGAGGCAGGGGCGACACTCCCCGGAGGTCTCTACTGCTGGTCCCTGCAGGGCTATAGGGCTCTGGCTGCCTGCACTATGGCCCCGACTGCCTGCAAAGTGGCCAGGCTCCCTGCAAGCCCATGTGCTCCTTTCCACCGGGGCTCAGCTCTCCTGCCCGGGGTGCTAGGGACCTTGACCTTCCAAACCCTGCTAAGCAGAGCTCCCACCCCAGTCTTGCCTCCCAGCAGCTTTCCGGTATCTTCCAGAGAATTCCAGGCTCTTCAACCCTATACTGAGTGCCACATTATTTCTCTTAATCCTCATGACATCCCTGAGGGACAGGGGCTATATTTGTGTTTTACAGGCAAGGAAGCTGAGGCCTGGAGTGCAAAGTGGCTTATCTAAGGCCACACTGGCAGAATGCGGATTCTCACTCTGGCTTCTCAGCCTCCAAAACCTGGACTCAGAGTGTTCCCTGCCTCGCTTTACCATCTCTCCCACCAGTTTCTGCGAGCAGAGCAGGACTGGTGGCACAGGGAGTGTGGGTGGACGACGTCACACAGGCCACGTGGCTCCCTGAGCTGCAATCCCACCCCCAAGTTGGGAGCCCCACCACCTGAGGGCCCAGACCTTCCTCCTCTCTCCCGGCCATGACCCGGCTAGGACTGTGCAGAGCAGAGCTGGAAGGGGAGATGGACCCAGGGGGGTATAGTGACTCTGCCTTCTTCGGATATTTGCTGTTCCTGGCTCTCCTTGTGTGCCCCATGAAGCCCAGTGATGGAGTGTCCTGGGTGGTCCCCATTTCCTGGGCTGCAGAGCACTGCCTCCCTCCTGTTCAGAGCTACAGTGGCCCCAAGCTCACCTCATCCTCCCTGCCTCCCCTCTGTAGGCAGTAAAGTGGGGTGGGGTTGGGGTGTTTCTGGGGACCCCACGGGCTTGCCAGGAGCTGCTGGTCAGCCCAAAGCTGAGAAGGTTCTGGTTTAAGCCTGGCCTCGGGCAGCAGCCCCTTGTGGCTCTCAGGAAATCACAGGGAGAGGAGGGGATACAGAGCCACTCACATACTTTGGCCCCATGAGCCCTGCACAAAGGGGGACCCGGAAGGAATCTCAGCAGCTCCTGGAGGTCCTGGTGGCCCTCCCTGGTGCATTTGCTGTTAAGCAGAGTTGAGTCCTTGGCTCCCTAGTCTAGGCAGACACCCACCAGCCAAGCTCAGGAGATGGATGTGTGCACCCAGAAAACCTGGGGACATCACCTCTGGACAGAGCAGGGGGCAGTGGGATGTCATATGGTTGTGATGGGACACTGCGGTGGTGGCCTTGGGCTCAGGCCCAGAGGCCAGGGCCCCAGGGCTCTCTGCACAGTGCAGAAGTGGGGGCTACAGCCCTTGAGACCACTGAGCCACTCCTTTTTTGGGGCTGCTCTTTAGTCTTTGATGGCGGCTCCTGCAGTGTGAATGACGCAGCTGCTGTAGGAACTCCTGACCAGCAGGAGCCATTCTGCCTCTGTAAGGCTGGGTGGGTCCTTCCCCATCCCCTCCAGGGCTGTGTGCACCAAAAGTCCACAGGGACTTTCGGGCTGCTTAGAGTGTGTGCAGAGTGGTATGTGTGTGCGCGCATGTGTGGTGGTGTGCACACAGTGATGTGTGCATGCCTGTGTGTGTGTGTGTGTTCCAGTGAAGGGCTGGGTCTACATGTTTGTCACTTGCTAAGAGCAGCTTATGACGCCACAGTGGGCTCCTTGCTGAGTGGTATCATCCCTCCTTGGCCGCCTGCTGTGGTGGCAGCCCGGTGATTGAGGATTTCTCCTGGACTAGCTCATCGGGGGCTGGGCAGTTAATTCTCAGGGCACCCCAGACTCACTTCTAGCAAGGCCCTGGGGACCATGTGCCCCTGTACTTCCCACAACTGTTCCCTGCCTGGGACTCTGTTTACATGTGGAGTTCCTGGGAAGGCCGGCCTGGTGCAGGGGGCCTAACTCCCATCCCTAAGCCCAGACAGTGACTTATGGAGTGGGGCGGGAGGGTGCAGGAAAGCTGGGGGAAGAAGGCGCCTCCAGTTGCCACTAGATGGTGAGGATCCCACCCCAAATTTATTGGGTGTTGGCCATGTGCCAGTCCTGTGCTGAATCTTGGCACTCAGTGTCTCATGCCATGTTCACTATAGTGGCAATGGTGATTAGCCCATTCTACAGGAAGGAGGACTGAGGCACAGAGCTTCTCAGCTCACAGCAGCCTCTTGGGGTCCTGCGGCTTTGTAACCTCTCCTGATGCTCCGCAAAGCATGATTCAGGGGTCTGGAGCTCTCCAGAGGGCGTTTGTCAAATATGAGGATTTCCAGACTAAGGAGACCAAACTCTGGGCAAAGGTCCTGGAACCAGCCTGCATGATCCATCGTTTCTAGGGTCCCTAGAAGTTCCAGCGAGGAGCTGATTGCAGGACGGGAGAGTGGGGGCAGGCGAGGCACTGGGGTTTGCATGTGGGCAGTGTGTGGGGACAGAAGGAGCTGTGGCTGGGCATTCTTAGTCCTTTTCTAGATTCTCTCCATCCCTGTCTATACTCCCACCCTAGGTATAGTGATGGGGGCACAAGAAGATTTGAACGGATATGGTGGACAGTATTTGGGGCTGAGGACCATGGTGAGGACAGAGTAGCCCAGGGATACAGGTGAGGAGTGGGGGGTCCACCACCAGGCTAGACTTTGGTGTGCTCTTTTTCAGAAGGCAGTGGGGGGCCCCAAGGAAGGGTTTCCAGCAGAGGGGTGACGGTCATTGGTGGCTGCGGGAGGATGGACTGGAGGGAAAATGGGGGCTCCGGCGGATCCTGCAGGGCGGAGCACCTGGACTCAGGGAGCGGCGGGTGGGAGGGGAGGCTGCAATCCTTGCCCTTGGAGCCCGGGGCTATGAACCCCACCGGGGCATGTCGACTTCAAGGGACCTTGGAGTGGGTCTGAATGTGGGGCAGGAGGAGCTGAAGGTCGCAGGGACACCGTGACAAGGGGTCATGCTGGAGGGCGTGCCCAGGTCTCTCGGGCTCCTCCGCCGCTATCTGAGGCTGTTTTCTCTTCTGTAAAATGGGTGGTCGCGAGGGTTCCGTGAGGTAACGCTGCTTGTGGAGGCTTCGCGCCCGACAGCCGCGTCCTTCGCCGGTGCGGGAGGGGGCGCCGCGCTGGCTGCGGGGACGGCACTGCCCCCTGGCGGCGTTCCCGGGCGGACAGGCGGGGCGTCGGGGCGCCGGGGCGCGGGCTGGGGCTGCCGTCAGTCAGCCCATCTGCTCCCACGCCGTGTCTGTCTGTCGCTCGGAGGGTGGACGCCGGGGTCTCGCAGGCCACATGGTAGGTGCGTGGGCGCCCGCTTGGGCGAAGGCGCTGCGGCTGGGCCGGGGCTCTGAGCTGGCAGGGTCGTCCCAGGGCGGGAGGGGTCCCAGGGCTCCGTCGGGGCGCCCCCCGTCCCCCCACCGGGGAGCCTCGCAGCCTCTCGGGTCATTTGTGTCTTCCGGGCAGTGGCGCCGCCGGCTTGCGACCCTTATTCGAGGACCAGGTCGCCTCCCTTGAACCCGGGCTGGCGCCTGCTAATTCCCAGCTGGTCCCCGAGGCTCCCGCGCTACGGTGCAGCGGGGTTGAGGGCGGGCGGGAAGAAGGTGGGAGACTGGACAGAAGAGAGGGAACCCCAGAGTTGGTAGTGCCAAGGGCATCAAATACGGAGACTTTGAACAGTTCGGGTGACAGAAAACAGAAAAAAAGAATCAATTTGTGGATCAGGCATTTGTAGTGTTTAGCCTTTACACTTCCTCACTTGACCCTCATTGTGACGAGGTCTCCAGAGCAAGGGGGTGATCACCGTGCCTTTCCGTATGCCAGTCAGGCCCAGCGTTCATGCCTTTCATGGATTAAACTCCCTGGATCCTCCTAATAAGGACACAGCCTCAGAGAGGTTACCTTGCTAACAGTCACACAGCCTGGAACTGGGGAGGCTGGATTCAAATTCAGGCAGTTGCTTCCAGAGCCCTTGCTCTTGACCCTGTGATACCAGGCATTGTGCCCATTTTACAGATGCCCAAACAAGTGCCTCATCTTGCATCATTGCTTAAAAGGGGAGATACCCAAGATCTGTCATTTATTCAAAGGTTACAATAGATCATGAAATTTAAAATCAAAGCCCCATGTGTTATCATTTTTAAAAAATGTATTTATTTTTACTTTTTAATTTTTTTGAGACAGGGTTTGGCTCTGCTGCCCAGTAGCATGATCTTGGCTCATTGCAACCTCTGTCTCCTGGGTTCAAATGATTCTCCCACTTCAGCCTGCCAAGTAGCTGGAATTACAAGTGTGTGCCATCATGCCTGGCTAATTTTTTGTATTGTTAGTAGAGATGGGGTTTCACATGTTGGCCAGGCTGGTCTCGAACTCCTGACCTCAAGTGATCCGCCCGCCTCAACCTCCCAAAGTGTTGGGATTACCGGTGTGAGCCACTGCACCCAGCCGCATTTTTACATCTCTGACCTGTGGATTTAAGAGTTTTGTTTTCTTTCCCAGTGGTGCCTAAAATAATGGTCATTTTAGCGCTAATGTCACCTTTGGCTGGATGAGTTAGGACAGAGTCAGCATTCCCTGAATGATCTTTCTGGGCATCTCCCCTCTGTTCCAGACTCCTCTGTGCCTCAATTGCTCTGTCCTCCCTGGAGATCTGTCCCCAGGTGGTGCAAGGAGCCCCATGGTTTGCAATGGCAGTGCGGCCAGGGGGTACTTTGACCCTGAGGACTTGAACCTGACTGACGAGGCACTGAGATTCAAGTACCTGGGGCCCCAGCAGACAGAGCTGTTTGTGCCCATCTGTGTGACGTACCTGCTGATCTTTGTGGTGGGTGCTGTGGGTAACGGGCTGACCTGCCTGGTCATCCTGCGCCACAAGGCCATGCACACACCCACCAACTACTACCTCTTCAGCCTGGCCGTGTCGGACCTGCTGGTGCTGCTGGTGGGCCTGCCCCTGGAGCTCTATGAGATGTGGCACAACTACCCCTACCTGTTGGGCATTGGTGGCTGCTATTTCCGAACGCTGCTGTTTGAGATGGTCTGCCTGGCTTCAGTGCTCAACGTCACTGCCCTAAGTGTGGAACGCTATGTGGCTGTGGTACACCCGCTCAAGGCTAGGTCCATGGTGACACGGGCCCATGTGCGTCGAGTGCTTGGGACCGTCTGGGGTCTCGCCATGCTCTGCTCCCTGCCCAACACCAGCCTGCACGGCATCCAGCAGCTGCAACTACCCTGCCGGGGTCCGGTGCCTGACTCAACCATGTGCATGCTGGTCCGCCCACGGCCCCTCTACAGCCTGGTGGTGCAGACCACCGCGCTGCTCTTCTTCTGTCTGCCGATGGCCATCATCAGTGTGCTCTACTTGCTCATTGGGCTACGGCTGTGGCGGGAGAGGCTGCTGCTCATCCAGGAGGCCCAGGGCAGGGGCTCCAAAGCTGCCAGGTCCAGACACACCTGCAGGCTCCAGCAGCGAGATCGGGGCCGGAGACAAGTGACCAAGATGCTGTGTAAGTGTCACGGCTGGGAAGAGGGGCTGAGCCAGGCACTGGGTATGAGGCTGGGGCTCCTGGGGTCTGGAGAAGGGGCTGAGTACCTGGGTTTGTGGGAGACGAGAACTTCCCTAGCCTCATGTGTGTGTGTGCACGTGTGTCTGAGTTTACACTCCTGTGTACTCTTTTAGATTACCCTGTTAGATTCTTACACCTGTTAATGGCTAATGGTAAGATTGACTGTTTAATTTGTGGAGTCCACTGCAGATGAAAATTCAGGGTCGCTTTTTCAAAAATGAATAAGAATGTTAAGACAACAATAGAGCATTAAACCAAGCCCAGGACCCTGCTAAGCCTGGGGCCCTGGCTCTGGAACCAAAACACAAGAAAAGGCAGGGGAATGTGGTTGGGCTCCAGGAGACAGAAAACGGGATCTGGACCCTCCAGGTCTCTCTTGGTTTTTTTTTTTTTTTGGAGACAGGGTCTTGCTCTGTTGCCCAGACTGGAGTGCAGTGGTATGACCACGGCTCACTGAAGCCTATCTTCCTACCTCACTCAGCCTCCTAAGAGGCTAGAGCTACAGGCACACGCCACCATGCCCAGTTTTTTCATTTTTGTAGAGACAGGGTCTCGCTATGTTGCCAGAGCAGGTCTTGAACTCCTGGTCTCAAGTGATCCTCCCATCTCAGCCTCCCAGAGTGCTGGGATTACAGGCATGAGCCACTGCGCCTGGCTCTTTTTGGTTATTACACGTCTTGGCCTTGTTCTTCCCTGCAGCAGCCTGCGAGGCATGGCCACTGGCACATCGTCTCCTTTCCTGAGGAACTGCCCTCTTCTTTTAGAGATGAGTGAAAAGTTCCAGGAAGGATTCTGCTGGGTGGGGCTTAGGTCATGGGCCACCTCCTGAGCCAGAGTGGCAGGATGCTGAGGTATACAGCCCCCAGTGGAACCGCACAGTGGGATCTGGGGGGAGCAAAGTCCCCCAGAGAAGGGGGGGAGGAGGGTGCTGGAGAGGCCAGGTGCTGAATCTCCCCCATGCCATGTCTGCAGTTCCCTGGGAACCACTGGAGTGACCATTTGTCTAAAGAGCCCCATCGGGAGGTGTGTCTGTGAGGGCTGGGCTCAGGGCACAGGGGATCAGGCCAGAGACGTGCGGGTTGGGGCAGGCCAGAGTGTGCCCAGCTGGGATGAGGCTCTGGATCTTTGTGGCCTGGACCTGGTTTTTTTTTCAAAAGTTGTGGCCCTGGTGAAGCAAGACAAATTGATGCTAAGCCAATCACAGATCTGCCCCACCTACCTCCCTGCATCCCAGCTCAACCCTAACTCAGCAGGGCCTGAATCAGGCCAGTGGGGTGAGCTGGGTTGGGAGAGGGCCACCTAGACTTTGGACAGAGCCAGCTAACTGGGTGGGGGCTGCCCCATCCCCAGAGTGAGTCACTCCTCTTGCTCCTCAGGCACCATCCCAGAGCCCAGAGTCTCTTGTGCAGCCCAAGATGGGACTGAGCCGAGAGCTGTGTTTCTGCCTGCCAGCTCTGCACTGTGAAGCTTGTGCTCATACCCAGCTGCCCCCGTCGCCCTGCCTCCTGCCCTACTACCCCATGCCCTCCCTGAAAACACAGGTGGGCAGTCCGCAGGAGGTGCTCAGCTGGGATAGCTCACCCCTGGAAGGTGGGCTTCCTGCTTGCTGGCCTTCTCTCTTCCCTCCCTCTCCCCGTCCCCCCTTGTCCACTTTCCAAGGACCGGCTGTGCACCAGGCCAGGTGCTGGGGATATTGTGAGCAATGTCCTTTATGAAATCTGGGATTATGAAAAAACCATGCTAGGGTATGATGGGGAAGACACTGCCTGGCAAAGCTAGTAAGTTGCAGCAGCAAACCCAAGAAACAAAAACAAAAATCACAGCTGGCGCAGTGGCAGAGACCCAAGGAAGAGCATGGTTGGTAAGACAAGGGCAGGCGGGATTTGGGGAGAAAGAGCGAAGGTTTGGCCAAACTGTCCTACCTTTTGCTGGGGAGGGGGTGGGCAAGGGCCTGGCAAATAATGGGGGGCAGGTTAGTGCAGGGCAAGATATTCAGATGGGACTTGGGGAGCTGGGGGCTGGAGCGGAAAAGGCCAGGGGCCAAGGCAGGCAGTGTGTGCATGCGTACATGTGTCTGTGTGTGTGCATGTATGTCTGGGTGTGTCTCACTCTCCCTGGCCCCATGATCTCCTGTCTGCTGCTTTCTGAGCATGTGCCCCTTTCTTCTTCTTCTGTGTACTTATGCATCAGCAAGCATGGCCTCCCAGGGGGCATCTAGAGTGGCCCAAGCCCCACAGCCTGTTTCACCCCAGTAGTTCAGCAGCCACAGCTAAGTGTGACCCAATTCCAAACTCCCAGAGTGACAGAATCTGATTGGGCCAGCTGGGCACAGGTGTCCACGCCTGGTCCAATCAGCTGTGGCCAGAGGCAGGGATGTGCCCCACTGCTCACAGTCAGTGACAATGGTGAGGGCAGCCTCTTTGAAAAAGCATGGCCAGAACAGGCATTTCTAGAAACTTTCACCTGGGCGATGGGTGAGGGTGGCCTGTGGGATGGGAGGTGAGAATGGGTAGGCCAAACTGAAGCCCAAGAAGGCAGCTGAGGGGGCTCCAGCAGGCACTCAGCCTCCCTTCTCTGTCCCTGCAGTTGTCCTGGTCGTGGTGTTCGGCATCTGCTGGGCCCCGTTCCATGCAGACCGCGTCATGTGGAGCCTCGTGTCACAGTGGACAGAGGGCCTGAAGCTGGCCTTCCAGTACCTGCACGTCATCTCTGGTGTCTTCTTCTACCTCGGCTCGGCAGCCAACCCAGTGCTCTACAGCCTCATGTCCAGCCGCTTCCGAGAGACCTTCCAGGAGACCCTGTGCCTCAGAGCCGGCTGCCACCGCCTCAGACCTCACCACAGCTCCTACAGCCTCAGCAGGGTGACCACGGGCAGCACTCTGTGTGATGTGGGCACCCCAGGCAGCAGGGTCCACCCACTGGCTGGGAACGATGGCCCAGAGGGGCAGCAAGAGACTGACCCACTATGAGTGGAGCCTCAAAGTGGCTTCACCTGGAGGGGTCGGAGGGCCACGAGGAACTGGGGAGACACATCTGCCTTCCTCTGAAGGGATACCTTCACCTACTGTCCCCTGTTCAGCCTAGAAATTCTGATCGGCAGGTCAGTCCCCCGCAGAGGGAAACAGCAGGAGGAAGGATTGATCTCTGATTGCTGAGGACTCATACTGGCCAGACGCCACACTGTGTGCTTCTTATCCCTCACTGCCACTTCCCCAGTTCAAGTCCTTCCCCTGCAGAAATACCACAGTTAGCTGGGGCTCAGCAGTCCTCCCTCTGGGGACTCCCACCACCACTGCCAGTTTCTGAAATGGTCCCACTGGGCCCTCGCTGTCCTTCCCAGGTCCTGTTCAGGTTCTGGCAGGGGCCTGGGGATCCAGGAGACCTGCTTCCAATCTCAGCCCTGCTGTCACCACCTTGTCATGTGGCATCAAGCATATCAGTCCACCTTTCTAGGCCTCAGTTCCTTGCTTGAAAAATGAAAGAGGCACTGGCTTTACACAGTGACATGCTTGGACACTTTAGCTGTGGTTTTCTTTCTCTGTGTTAAGTTACTGCTTGTAATGAAACCAACAATACTCTCAGACTGACAGGGCGGAAATTATTTTGTGCATTTTTATCAGCCCCAAGCTCTACTTCCTCCCTGACCTCCACATGCCCTCCCCAGCCCCTCCCAGCACAAATGTGGCAGAGCCAGCAAGGAAGCCAACCCCCTCCCACCACAGCCCACCTAAGTGCAGGCTGGCTTGAGGGCCCAGTGAGCAGAGCGCTAGACACGGCCAACCAAGGGCAAGGAGTGATGCTCTGGAGGGCTCTGCTGAACTCAATGCAGTGAGAAGAGGGACAGGGACAAGTCATCTTTGAAACTGAGACCCATTCTGAATGCCTGCGGGCCAAGTCAGTGCTCAGCCAGGACTCAATTCATGGATGAAAGCTGACCTACTGCCAGTCCCTGGGTCTTGTCCTCCTGAGAGGAAGTCCTGGCTTCCATGGCTGGGAGCTGTAGGATGACCTGGGGTCAGTCTGTCTGGGTTCTCCCTGCAGACAGCTTCCTAGCTTGTGATCCTAGCTCAGGCTCCCTGGCGAGAAAGTGGAGGACACGGTACAGGGTTGCAGATAATGTTTAGTTAAAAAAATTCAATTATAAAAATATTAAACGCTCATCACAGAAAACTTGGAAAGTGCAAATAAGCAAAAATGAAAATAAGTTTTAAAAATGCAAAACCTCAGGCCAGGTGCAGTGGCTCACACTTGTAATCTCTGCACTTTGGGAGGCCAAGGTGGGTGGATCACCTGAGCTCGGGAGTTTGAGACCAGCCTGGCCAACATGGTGAAACCCCGTCTCTACTAAAAATACAAAAATTAGCAGAGTGTGGTGGCAGGTGCCTGTAATCCCAGTTACTCGGGAGGCTGAGGCAGGAGAATCGCTTAAGCCCAGGAGGTAGAGGTTGCAGTGAGCCGAGATCGTGCCACTGCACTGCAGCCTGAGCGATAGAGTGAGACTCCTTCTCAAAAACAAGCAAACAAAACATATAAAACCCCCCTTGCCAGGGGCTGGGAAAAGGGGAGGTGGGGAGTTGTTTAATTCACACAGAGTTCCAATTTGCAAAATGAAAAAGCTCTGGAGATCAGTTGTACAACAATGTGAACATACTTAACGATACTGAACTGGTTAAGATGGTACATTTTATGTGTATTTTACCAATTTTTTTTTAAAGAAGATTAAATCTAAAGGAAAGAAAATGAAAACTACCCATAGCTTTACTCTGAGGCAGCAGCAGCAGCAGCATGCTTCCTCCTGGTGATGTTTCACATGGTTGTTTTATTTTATATAAACAATACACAGACACAATTTTGTATCTGGCCTTTTGCCCAGTGGATGTTCTATCCAAGCTCACGCTTGCACTCATCTGACTCATGGGCTCCACTGTGATGGGCCTTGGCCAGCCCTGGGGCGTGGGACTTAGCACATACCATCTGGGTGAATTTTTACATGCTGGCCAGGAAGGCCCGGATGCCCCTGCCTCCTCAATCCCTGGCTGGGGGAAGGAAAAGCCTCTTGTCTGTCAGTCCTGCCCGGTGGACAAGTTCTGGGAGCAGCATAAGGGCTCCTGGACAGAGAGAACAGGGGCTGGGGGTGGGGAGTGGGGGACACTGAGGACAGTGGGAGAAAATGGGAAAAGTGGGGACCTCATGGAGGCCAGAGCGTGGATGAGGCAGCTGAGGGGAGGCTGGTTTAGGGAGAGGGTTTCCTCAGTGGGGGGCCCTGAGCCTGCCTTGACTGAACACACACAGTCAAGCCCTGAGAGGGGACAGCGGGGACAGCTCCTAAGCTGTGGAAAGCATTTAGACTGCTGGAGAGCTATATGTGAATCTTTATTGCAAACTTTGGGGTTTTGTTGTTGTTTTTGGAGACAAGATCTTGCTCTCACTCAGGGTGGAGTGCAGTGGTGCCATCATGGCTCACTGCAGCCTTGACCTCCCAGGCTAAAGCAATCCTCCCACCTCAGTCTCCTGAGTAGTTGGGACCTCAGGCATGCACTGGTTAATTTTTGAGTTTTTTGTTTTTTTTTTGAGATGGAGTCCTGCTCTGTCGCCAGGCTGGAGTGCATTGGCACAATCTCGGCTCACTGCAACCTCTGCCTCCCGGGTTCAAGTGATTCTCCTGCCTCAGTCTCACGAGTAGCTGGAACTACAGGTGTGCACCACCGCACCCATCTGATTTTTATATTTTTAATAGAGACAAGGTTTCGCCATGATGGCCAGGATAGTCTCGATCTCTTGACCTCATGATCCACCTGCATTGGCCTCCCAAAGTGCTGGGATTACAGGAGTGAGCCGCCACACCTGGCCAATGTTTTGGGTTTTGGAGCGGGGAGCTGCTGTTACTCCTGGGGTGAAGTGATCTTCCTGCTTGAAGCCAGCAGTTTGAGACCAGGCTGGGAAACACAGCGAGATCTCATTTCTACCAAAAAAAAAAAAAAAAAATTAGCTGGGTGCTGTGGTAGTGTGTGCCAGTAGTCCCAGCTACACAGGAGGCTGAGACAGGAGAATCACTTGAGCCCACCAGGAGTTTGAGGCTAGTGATCCCACCACTGCTCTCCAACCTAGGTGACAGAGTGAGATTTCATCTGTAAAACACAAAAATAAAAAGTCTCTTTAAATTGTTGGTTTGTTTTGAATTAGGGTTTTTAAATGTCTACACATTACATTTAGTTTGTTCAGATTCTTTCTTGCGTCTCTGTATGACACTTCTCCTCCCCAGATATGGGGCAAGACGCCTCTGGAATGAGGCTCTTACGACCTACTTCACATGAGGTAGGCCAGTGAATTCCTTTACGACCCTGCTTTATGGGAGAAAGGCAGGAGCACATCACAGAGACCTTGCTTCTGTGGTTTTTCTCAATTGCCAAGGTGCCACATTTTGGCAAATTTATGGATTTTGCTTCTTGTGTCTTTTCCTGTCCTTGTTATTGATTTTAATAAGAATACTTCTTGGTAGAGTGTGGTGATTCAATCTGCTAATACTTTGTTTGAACCTTGCATCTGTTCACAAATGAAATGGGCGTTTGTCTTTTCTTCAATTGTTCTTGATCAGTTTTCTTAAACTATTTGGGCTAACCTCATAAAGCAAGCTAGGCAAGAGTTTAGCGAAGTACCGTATCTAAAACAGGGAGGCAGATTTCTCTTCATACTCTCATTCCTTCCCAATTTGGGTCTTTCTGAAGGTAGGATAAGGCCAGCACCCTTTACTCAAGATCGCCCTTCCCTATTCCCCAAACACACACAATATCCCCAAATTGCCACTCTTCAAGTCCCAACGTGGGACTAACTCCTAGGAGCTTGATCCTCCTACTGCGGCTACTGGTGTTAATGGCTATGGGGTCTTGTGAGAGCACATGTTCATGACAGTCCAACGCAAAGAAAACTAGGAGAGAGTATTAAGTGATTGCGCCTTAACTTATTTAAATGTAAAATGAAACTATTATTACCATCTAAGTCACACGTGTGTTTTGAGACGTCCATGATAAAATGTATGAAAAAGCAACCGGTACACTGCGTGGCACAAACCCGCAGCGGGGGAGGTGGGGGCGGGGGCTACAGCAGCGATAGCCTTAACGGAGTGACCCTCAACTGTCGTCTCCGTGCCTCCTTCCCGGCTGGCAACGGCTAAGTCGCTAACACAGCCCTCACTGGGCGGGTCGCGGCCTGGACGGTTTAAGGCCCCGAACGCTGGGAACCCATCCGGGCACGCGCGCCCTCAAGGACCGGTCGCTTTAACGACCGCTATTCACTTTCCGATGGCCCCACCGCTAGAAGAGCGTCGGACCGCGCGACCCGCTCACCAACTCCCCGAACTCTGGGGCGTCTCGGCCTTCTCGCCCACCAACCTGGCGCGAACACCTGGGACACCGCACGCACCAGAACCAGCAAACCCAAAGCACAGCGCCGGAGCCAGACCACAGCAAAATGTCAGCCCCACTGGCCGGCGCAGCCTCTTCACCTCGACTTGAGACTCCGCCCCCAGGCTCCCGCACCGCCCGGGCTCTGATTGGGCGAAGCGGAGTCACGAGGGCGCCGTCGCTCTACGTGACGGTTTTCCCTGAGGTCCTTGGGTCTTGGGCTGCCGTTGTAAGGCGTTCCCATCGCGTCTGCGTCTGCGTCTGCGTCTGCGGTCTTCTCCGGGCATTCCTCGGGTGTCGTGCCTGCGTCCGTCACGCGCGGTGGCTCGCAGGGGCACACCACCCAGGGCGTTGGCGGGCTCTGGTCGGGGGGAGCCCTACACCTGCGGCAGCCTTAACGGGGAACCTGTCAGAGACAAGGGCTGACATGGGCAGCGAGTCTTGTAGACTCATTTGCGTTCTGAATTCTGGTGGGGGTAGTGATGGACACTGTCCCAGTTCACAGAATTCTTTGGCTGGGTAGGTAAAGGTACTTGAATTGTAGGTATTTTTTTTGGCCCCGTGTCCCCTTTATTTTGTCCAGTGTGCTTCCATTTGAGTAGTCTGTAGTGGAATTAATTTTTTTTTTTTTTAAAGAAACAGCTATTTAAAAACACATGATGGAGGGAGCAAAATGAGAAGAGTAGGGAGGAATTCTTGGAATTTGCCTTTGTTTTTTTTTAGTTTCTTAACCTTAAAGAGTTTCCACTTGTAGATTGTGGCAAAAGAGGAGGTGTGGGAGACCGCACCTACATCAAAAATCACCTTTTCTATTTTTCTGTTCACTGGTGTGAGTAAAAGATACCAAATGAAAATAAAAAGTTAAGTTGAGGCCTAACGTGAGTTTATTGCAGATGCCAATTTACTGTTGGAAATACTAGAGGCAAAACGTGCAAGGCTTGGAATGTGTGAGGGCTCTATGATGTGCCTAATAATAATCTTGTCCATTTTGAGCAGGAAAAAAATCAAGGTGAACTAAAGAAAATGAGCGTTGGCCCAAGGAGATAGAAGATGGGGAAGGTGAGATGTGAGAAGATAAGGACAATGGCAGTAGAGACGAGGTAATTATCTGTACTGCTTGAGCAGAGTAGCATTTATTATTAATGTCAACAATCAAAATCCATAGTAAAGCAGTTAAACTGCGTTGTTTAATCTCAAAAGTTGGCTAGGATGGATAGCTCTTGCCTGTAATCCCAGCACTTTGGGAGGCAGAGTAGGGTGGGCCGCTTGAGCCCAGGAGTTTGGGACCAGCCTGGGCAACATGGTGAAACCCATCTCTACTAAAAATGTAGAAATTAGCCAGACCTGGTATCTCCCACCTGTAGTCCCAGCTACTCAGGAGGCTGAGGCAGGAGAATCACTTGAACCTGGGAGGTGGAGGTTATGGTGAGCAAAGATTGTGCCACTGCACTCCCGCCTGCGAGACAGAGTTTGTCTCAAAGAAAAAAACACAAACCTCAAAAGTGACACTGCAAACGCTGTTCAACTAGTTTTACAAGTTCACACTAAATTTGACAGCAAAATCTGTCCAAGTCATTTTGAGAAAAGGAAATCACAGACTACTGTCTCTCCAATGAGCATAGATACAAAAATTCCAGAAATATTAGCAAATTGAATATCAATGTTATGCAAACAGTAGTACCTCATAATACATTGTGGCCAAGCGTGGGTTATTTGGGGGAATGCTGAGGTCTTTTATATTTGTAAAGTGATACTGGTTGTTTGGAAATACTGGTTTAAAAGAAAATCTCGGCTGGGCATGGTGGCTCACGTCTGTAGTCCCAGCACTTTTGGGAGGCTGAGGCGGGCAGATCATGAGGTCAGGAATTGGAGATCAGCCTGGCTAACATGGTGAAACCCCATCTCTACTAAAAATGCAAAACTTAGCCGGGCATGGTGGCATGTGCTTGTAATCCCAGCCCCTTGGGAGGCTGAGGCAGGAGAATCACTTGAACCCGGGAGGCGGAGGTTGCAGTGAGCCGAAATCACGCCACTGCACCCCAGTCTGGTGACAGAACGAGACTCCACTTCAAAGAGAAAAGGAAATGTCTTCATTCTTTAAATCAATTCATTAAAATCCATTCATTTATGGCCCAGCAGGGCGGTGCTTTGCCTCAGCCATGCATGGCTGTTTTAAATTAAAAAAAAAAGCAAAAAAAAAGAAGGCCGGGCGCGGTGGCTCACGCCTGTAATCCCAGCACTTTGGGAGGCCGAGGCGGGTGGATCACGAGGTCAAGAGATCGAGACCATCCTGGTCAACGAGGTAAAACCCCGTCTCTACTAAAAATACAAAAATTAGCTGGGCATGGTGGTGTGTGCCTGTAGTCCCAGCTACTCGGGAGGCTGAGGCAGGAGAATTGCTTGAACCCAGAAGGCGGAGGTTGCGGTGAGCCGAGATCCAGTCTGAGTAACAACAGCGAAACTCCGTCTCAAAAAAAAAAAAAAAAAAAATCCTTTACTTTGTGTACCTGCCAAACATGTTTTCACATTTCTTCTTTTGACAAATATTGAAGTTCCTACTAGGTTCTGCTTTTGAGAGCCTGTCCTTTGGAATTTGAAAATAGATAGGTTTAAGTTGAGTCTTGACAGAATGAAGCTGGCTGGGTTAGTGGGTACACAGCTAATGAATATGGTATGCTTCATATGTGCAGCCATTGTACAGGGGCTTTATGCCAGGGGTCCCCAAACCCTGGGCCACAGACCTGTACTATTCTATGGCCTGTTAGGAACCAGGCCGCACAGTGGGAGGTGAGTGGTGGGCGAATGAAGTAAGCTTCATCTGTATTTCCAGTGGCCTCCCCATCGCTTGCATCACTGCCTGAGCTCCGCCTCCTCTCAGATTAGCTGCAGTGTTAGGTTAGAGTCTCATAGGAGCACAGACCCTTTTGTGAACTGTGCATGTGAGGGGTCTAGGTTGCACGCTCATTATGAGAATCTAGTGCCTGATGATCTGTCACTGTCGCCCATCACCCCCAGATGGGACCGTCTAGTTGCAGGAAAACAAGCTCAGGGCACCCACTGGTTCTATGTTATGGTGAGTTGGTATAATTATTTTATTATATAGTACAGTGTAATAACAGAAATAAGGTGCACAATAAATGTAATGTACTTGAATCATCCCTCTGTCCTCCCATTGGATGTATGAAAAATGGTCAGCCACAAAACTGGTCCCTGGTGCCAAAAAGGTTGGAGACCACTGCTTTATGAATGGTTTCATTTCATCCTCACAGTGACCAGGTTAGGTAGGCGTCATTAGCTCCATCTTTTAGACAAGAAAGCAGATTTAGCCGTTAACCAGCTTGTTCATGTTTCCAGAACTAATAAGTGACAGAGCCAGGGTTATACATGGGTCTGCTGAATCCAAACCGCCTATACTCTCCCTGTTCATTCTCAGTCTCCTCCTAAGCACTTGTCCTGAGAGGCAGGTAGCATTCGTTGTCCACGTTGAGCAACTGGTTGTGTGATGGAAACTTTCTTCAGCCCTCTTCTGTCTAGTAGTTGTTTTACTTAATCAAAAGTAAAAGTGGGTTTTGGGTGCCCTTGTCATACACACTTAGTGGTGATGATAGGTTTGTTAATTTATTTGACTGTAGTAACCATTTTGCCATAAGTATATTAAAACACGTTATATGCAATTTTTTAAAAAGTAAAAGTAGGGAAATCGTGAAAATTATCCATACCTTTTGATTTTTTTTTTTTTTTTTGAGGCAGAGTTTCGCTCTTGTTACCCAGGCTGGAGTGCAATGGTGCGATCTCAGCTCACCGCAACCTCCACCTCCTGGGTTCAGGCAATTCTCCTGCCTCAGCCTCCTGAGTAGCTGGGATTACAGGCACGCGCCACCATGCCCAGCTAATTTTTTGTATTTTTAGTAGAGACGGGGTTTCACCATGTTGACCAGGATGGTCTCTATCTCTTGACCTCGTGATCCACCCGCCTTGGCCTCCCAAAGTGCTGGGATTACAGGCGTGAGCCACCGCGCCCAGCACCTTTTGATTTTAATTTAAGACATTTTATGTATTCATTGGCTAGTATTTTGATATGGGACCAAGGTCTTATCTTTGAGTAGCTTATCTTCCCTGTGTAAAGTACACACATAGTGCATCTTCTGTAATGTAAAGTTTGTTTCTTTAGAGCAAAGGAAAACTCTATCACCCTAGTAAAGCAATTTGAATACAGATTCCCACAGTTTTACAGCTTTTCCCATTCTTTGATGGTTGCTCATGCACACTTAATTTGATTGCAGTTTTTAACCTTTATCAAGTACTTCCAAAGCATTTAAGTTTGTTTTCATAGACTCAATAACTTTTTGCATTTATTATTTTATTTTTTGAGATGGAGTCTCACTCTTATTGCCGAGGCTGAAGTGCAATGGTGTAAATTGGCTCACTGCAACCTCCACCTCCCGAATTCAAGTAATTCTGCTGCCTCACCCTCCCAAGTAGCTGGGACTACAGGCATGCACCACCACACGAATTTTGTATTTTTAGTAGAGATGGAGTTTCACCATGCATGTTGGTCAGGCTGGTCTTGAACTCCCAACTTCATGTGATCTGCCTGCCTTGGCCTCCCAAAGTGTTGGGATTACAAGTGTGAGCCATCAAGCCTGGCCCTTTTTGCACTGATTTTATTGGTTTATATGATGTTTAGTTAACACTACAGTTGAAACTGCAAATAATATGGTCATATACAGTTCAGCAAATACAGTGGGTTCTTATTAAAGATAGAGTTCAGCTCACAGGAATAGAAACGCTCGGTTAGTAGGAGTACCACAGAGTGGCCCACTCATGCTTGGCATTTCATGAGCATCAAGTTATTATAGTAAGACAGTCATTTAATCCAGCCAGTTGGTTAAGTTGACGTAGATAAGAGAGCATTTCACTGTACCAGTTGAGTATCCGTTACCCGAAATGCTTGGGACCAGAAGTGTTTTAGATTTCAGATTTTTCAGATTTCAGCATATTTGCAGATACATAATGAGATATCTTGGGGATGACACCCAAGTCTAAACACAAAGTTCATTTATGTTTCATGTATACTTTATGCACATAGCCTATGGTCGTTTTATTTTTCCCTCTGGTACACTGAATAACTGTTTTGCACTTGCATTTTGGCACTGACCCATTACACAAAGTGAGAATTGGGGCTCTAATGAGATGAATAATTGATGTATATTCTTCTGGGGCAGTAGCATCCATACTCGTAGAAATCTGGATGCTTGGTGGCTCACCCCTATAATCCCAGCATTTTGGGAGGCCAAGGCAGGTGGATCACCTGAGGTCGGGAGTTTGAGACCAGCCTGACCAACATGGAGAAACCCCATCTCTACTAAAAATACAAAATTAGCCGGACATGGTGGCACATACCTGTAATCTCAGTTATGGGATTACAGGAGGCTGAGGCAGGAGAATCGCTTGAACCTGGGAGGTGGAGGTTGCAGTGAGCTGAGATTGTGCCATTGCACTCCAGCCTGGGCAACAGAGTGAAACTCTGTCTCAAAAAAAAAAAAAAAATCTGGATGCTTGCTTCCCTGTGGAGATTCTGGTTTTTTAGCACTAAGTGAAGTCTGAGAATTTTTATTTCTGTTCTCTTTTTAGACAAAGTTTCACTCTTGTTGCCCAGGCTGAAGTGCAATAGTGTGATCTTGGCTCACCGCAGCCTTCACCTCCCAGGTTCAAGTGATTCTCCTGCCTCAGCCTCCTAAGTACCTGGGATTACAGGCATGTACCACCATGCCTGGCTAATTTTGTGTTTTTATTAGAGACAGGGTTTCTCCATGTTGGTCAAGCTGGTCTTGAACTCCAGACTTCAGGTGGTCTACCTGCCTTCACCTCCCAAAGTGTTGAGATTACAGGTGTGAGCCACGACGCCTGACTTTTTTTTTTTTTTTTTTTTTTTTTTTTGAGATAGAGTCTCACTCTGTGGCCCAGACTGGAGTGCAGTGGTGCTCACTGTAATCTTCACCTTCCAGGTTCAAACAATTCTCATGCCTCAGCCCTCTGGGTAGCTGGGACTGCAAGTGTGCACCACCATACCCAGCTAATTTTTTTATTTTTATTTTTTTTTTTAGTAGAGACAGGGTTTTACCATGTTGGCCAGGCTGGTCTTGAACTCCTGGCCTGAGGTGATCTGCTCACCTCTGCCTCCCAGAGTGTTGGGATTACAGGGATGAGCCACTGTGCCCAGCCTTCTTTTTTATCTTTAGACAAGCATGCCAGGTGAGTGGGGTGCTGGCAGGCTTTTGACTACATTTTTTTTTAAGAGAAATTCATCCTAGAGAGTTGAAATAGTTGTTGACTTACATGCCCGACTCGAATCTTGTGCTTAGTGACTATGCAGTGTGATTACAGCCTCATGAGGAGACATCTTTTCATTGTTGCTGTTTCTCCTCCATGTTCTTTTCCCTTAGAAGAATGGCAGGAAGAATGCTACTGCCCCAGGAAAGGAAGTAGGGGAGGAAAAGTCTCTGGCTCCTGTGTTTGCTGAGAAGTTAATATCACCAAGCAGGAGGGGAGCCAAGCTCAAGGACCATGAGAGCCATCAGGAGATTGAAGACAGGAACAGTGAGTTGGACCAGGATGAGGAAGCTAAAACCCTTCTCCAGGGGGTTCTTGGCGAGTGTGAGTTAGAGACAAGCTGCTGTGCGTGCCCTTCTACAGCATTTGGGAAGAGGTTTTGTTAAAAATCCATCCCTCTGAAAACTGCCTTGGCAATCCCTGGCTGATTCTTCAGGATGGGCTTCATTGATGGGGAGTCTCAGTGGATATTTGACCTTTGCTGTCTACCTGACCCAAGTCAGAGGTTTTCTTTTTCTTTCTTTTCTTTTATTTTTTTGAGACAGAGTCTTTCTCTGTCAGCCAGGCTGGAGGGCAGTGGCGTGGTGCTCCGCCTCCCAGGTTCAAGCGATTCTCCTGCTTCAGCCTCTTAAGTACCTGGGATTACAGGCGCACGCCACCACATCAGCTACTTTTTGTGTTTTCAGTAGAGACGGGGTTTCACCATGTTGGCCAAGCCTTGAACTCCTGACCTGAAGTGATCCATCTGCCTTGGCTTCCCAAAGTGCTGGGATTGCAGGCATGAGCCACCGTGCCTGGCCCAGAAGTTTTCTCTTTGAATACATTGATGAGTTCTGTCTTTGTGCTTATGAGCCATGCAGATGTCATCTCAGATTTAATTTTCAGTGATTTTTTTCTGTCTTGATGGAGTCTATGTAACATTTAAAATATGATTGCTACCAGAGTAATTCTTACTATAGTTATTGAAATGCAAGAACAATACATTTAAAATTATTTCATAATAAAGTTAAAATGAGGCTGGGCATCGTGGCTCATACCTGTAATCCCAGCACTTTGGGAGGCCAGGAGTTCAAGACCAGCCTGGGCAACATGGAGAGACCTGATCTCTACAAGAAATTAATAAATTAGCCAGGTGTGGTGGCACATGCCTATAATCCCAGCTACTTGGTAGGCCGAGGTGGGAGGATGGATTGAGCCAGGTGATCGAGGCCACGGTGAGCCGTGATCTCACCACCGTACTCTAGCCTGTGAAACATAAATGAGACCCTATCTCAAAATAAAAAGTTAAAGTGACTGAATTTTTTTCTTAGATTTTTGATACAGCCAGATATAAAAGAGCAATTGTTCTCTGAAAGGAGAATTTATCATTCTTAACTAGTCTGTGTAATAGTAATTAATTACTGTTAATTAGGTGGCTTCCCTTGTGATTCTAAGGGGGTAAAAATAAAGCTGGGACCAAAGGTAGAAAAGACCTTCCCATGAGGGCTGAAGATGATGAACAGGAGGAGGAAGCTTGCATGACTTGGATCAGCCGTGTTAAGCAGTGTGGCTGGCATCAGGGAATGCTAGTTGTGAGTGAAGCCCATCAGAAGGGGCTGTTGCATTTCCTGTATGAATTTAAATAACTTTCTTATTAATTTATAAATGCTTTCAAAAGTACCCTGACCAGACTCAACTCATGAGTCTTTTGACAGTTAAGTGTAGCTTTGGAATGATGTTTGTGGGTAGTATGAAAGTTTCCAGAAAGCAGATGACTGCAAATGCAATGGCTTTCACCCACAGAACCTAACAAAGAAACACCTGATAAATGAAGGAAGGAAATAGCCAATCAGAAATGTTCCCCTGGAACCAAAAACCAGAAATTAGAAGGTAACTTATTGGCCGTGGTTTAAAGAACAGGAGATGCATGGAGAATGTCATGTTGGCAAAAACTTAGTCTCTGTTAGCCCAGACGAGCAGCAGTGAGATTTGCTACAGAAGCTTGGTGTTATAATAAGCCACAATCTTTGATGGATTTTCTTTTAGTGCTATTTTTTTCTGAACTGAGTCCTTTTTTTTTTTAACATTTTTGTGTAGCAGCAGAACCACCTGTAGCTTTCAAACTGTTTGTTGGAAACCTGAATTTCAACAAAACTGCTGAACTGCAAGCTGGTCTCCGTGAATTTTTTGCTAAAAATGATCTTGAAGTTGTTGGTGTCAGAGTTGCCTTGTCCAGGTAAATACCAATAAATTAAGAAGGTTTTTAAGAGCTTATCGGCCCAGCACTTGACGTTCCTGGAGAATCAAGGAGTTCCGGTAGCTTTATGCCACTTCATCGTGGCTCACAGGCTGCCATCTTCTCAGGTCCTTTTGTTGCCTGCTCCTCACCCTTTGGTGGGATTTTACCTCAGTCACTTGCAGTTCAAAATGAATGTTTAAAATCCTTCAATGGCTCATGTTTGGTAAATCTGTTATATTTAACTTTGCTACCTATTTTCTCAACCAAAATATTAAAATAATCCCAAGATCTTCCAAGTCTTAGAGATAGGGTCTCGCTGTTTTACCCAGGCAGGTCTCAAACTCCTGGGCTCAAGTGATCCTTCCACCTCACCCTCCCAAAGTGCTGGGATTATAGGTGTGAGCCACTGTGCCCTGCCTGTTTTTTAAAAATTCAAAAAATTATTATTGTTACTGAGACAGTTTTCCCCTCTATCACCCAGGCTAGAGTGCAGTCACATGGTGTCAGCTTACTGCAGCCTCTGCCTTCCAGGTTCAAGCAATTCTGCCCCAGCCTCCTAAGTAGCTAGGATTACAGGCGCCTGCTACCACGCCCGGCTAATTTTTATATTTTTAGTAGAGACAGGGTTTAGCCATGTTGGCCAGGCTGGTCCTGAACTCCTGGTCTTAAGTGATATGCTTGCCTCAGTCTCCAGAGTGCTGGGATTGCAGGTGTGAGCCACTGTACCTGGCCAAAAATAAATAAATAAATTTTTTTGGAAACAGGGTCTCAGTCCGTTGCCCAGGCTGGAGTGCAGTAGTGTTATCATGGCTCACTGCCTCCCACCTCAGCCTTCTGAGTAGCTGGGACTACAGGCACACATCACCACACCTTTTTTGTACACATAGGGTTTTACCATGTTGCCCAGGCTGATCTCAAACTCCTGAGCTCAAGCAGTCCTCCCACCTCAGCCTCCCAAAGTGCTGGGATAACAGGTATGAACCACTGTGCCCGAGCAAATTTTGTAAATTCAAGCCATACTTTCTGTAGCTTTTGGTTAAATTTTGTCAGTTGTTAAGCTGAAAACTAATAGAGATGTCAGTAGGCAAACTCTGCACTGATTCTCAGTCCTTGCTCTAGAACGAGGTCTCTTGAATTCAGCGCTATTGACATTCTGGGCTAGATAATTTTTTTTTTTTGAGACAGGATCTGGCTCTGTCACCTAGGCTGGAGTGCAGTGATGCAATCTTGGCTCACTGCAACCTCTGCCCCCCAGCTCAAGCCATCTTCCCACGTCAGCCTCCCGAGTAGCTGGGACCAGAGACATGTACCACTATGCCCAGCTAATTTTTTTTTTTTGTATTTTCTGTGGAAACAGGGTTTCACCATGTTGACCAGGCTGGTCTTGAACTCCTGAGCTCAGGCAATCTGCCCGCCTTGGCTTCCCACAGTGGTGGGATTGCAGACATTAGCCACCATACTGGGTCTGGCCTGGGCAATTCTATGTTGTGGTAGCTGTCCAGTTCATCGTGTTTAGCAACCTCCCTGAATTCTACCCATTAGATACTGGCTGCTCCCCCATTTGTAACAGCCAAAAATGTCCCTAGACATTGTCAAACTTGCCTCCCTCCCCGCACCCACGACCCCGGGGTGAGAACTACTTCTCCATAGTTACTTCACAGTATTGACTGCCAGTTTGTAGAGCTTTGGTTTTAAATTGCAAATTAGGCAGCTGCCTGGTGACTTAGTGCTAATTTCTGTTCCAACAGCTAGTGTGATTAGCTAACCAGAGGCGTATGCTCTTCATCTTACCTGTGTATGCTTTTTCCCTTTTTTTCTACATCTCTGTAGGAGATTTGATTATATGAATTTTAAATCTGTTGATGATCAGGAAAAAGCCCTGGAACTTAGTATACAAAAGTCCTTGGATATGAAATTAAATTTAAGAAACCAACGGGAAAGAAAACAAAGGTGTGCAAACAAGGCAATTTGTTCAAAGGTATTGATGTATCTAGAAGATTCTGGGTCAGGCAGAAATATCACATTTTTTCTAATTTGGTGCAAGTAATGCTCAGTTTCTGACGGGCCACCTGCCTCCGTTGCACCCTGCTCTCCCTCCTGTGCTTGCGCTGCACGGCTCACCTTTCTCTGCTATAACGTTCTTTCCAGGACTCAGTCCCTGGCTACTTGAAACCCATCCATCCAGTCCCAGCTTAAATATCACTTCCTCAGATCAGAAAACTCTTTCCTTACCCCCACACTAGGGTAAGTCTTCTCTACTAGACTTCCTCATTGCCCCTTTTACTTGTCCATCCTGGCACTCATCAAGGTGTATAATTATGTGACTATTCATTTACCCATCTTTTCTCCAACAAAAGCACAGTCCTGAGAGCAGAGGCCAAGTCCATGTTTTCACGGCAAGCATATAGCACAGGCCCTAGCCTAGGGTATGTATTCAAATATTTGTTAAACGAATGAAGATGTATTGTTTCTACTTTGCAACTCTTTGAGGGATATTTTTTCTATCTTAGGGACTTTTGATGCTTACTAAATCTAAACTCACCAGACATATTCTTTTGTTTTTAGGTAGATCAAAGTGCCAAAACACTTTTGATCAAGAACGTGCCTGACAGAGTCACTCAACATGAATTAAAAGAAGTATTTGAGGATGCTTTTCAAATCAGATTAGTGAGCAAGGATGAGATGAGTGAAAGGTATGTTTTATACCTTGTACTGAATAAGAATGTAAGTCTACTGGATACAAACATAATGGAATTTCCTTACATTCTCTCAAATCTTTATGACTGATTTTAGAGAAGGAAGAGTAGTTAGTTACCCAGATTTCTGCCAGTAGGCATAAAAAATCGAAGGAGACATCATAAAGGGACAGCCAAAACTTCTAGAAAACTGTAGTGGTGCTATAGAGAAATAGAGACTTACTCTGCTACCAAGTACAGGATTGACGATTAGAACTTATTCATAGATGATGTACATTTATTCTTCTCTTTCCAGGGCTGACTCCACTAGAATAACCTACTAGGTAACTTGCTTGGACAGGTGCCAAAATAGAACATGGAATTGTTAGGTTTATGTTGTAACCAATTAGTGAAACACTGTCCTTAAGTATCTAGGCTTTGGTAGAGTAAGAGAGTGAAATTAGAGGGGGTGGAGTATAATATGTTTTGATGGGATTGTCATTGAGGTGAAAATTGAATATTGTTTTCTTTTTTTCCTTTTTTGAGATGGAGTTTCATTATTGTTGCCTAGGCTAGAGTGTAGTGGTGAGGGTCTCAGCTCACTGCAGCCTCTGCCTCCCAGGTTCAAACGATTCTCGTGCCTCAGCCTCCCAAGTAGCTGGGATTACAGGTACTCGCTACCACACTGGCTTTTTTTTTTGTATTTTTAACAGAGACAGGGTTTCACCATATTGGCCAGGCTGCTCTTGAACTCCTGACCTCAGGTGATCCACCCGCCTTGGCCTCCCAAAGTGCTGGGATTATTGGCGTGAGCCATTGCGCCCAGCCTGAATATTGGTTTTATAGACACATTTGAGCTAAATGTGTTGGTGTAGGTGAACTCTAAAATAATCTGTAGCATTGTGTTCTGATGAACCTAATCTCTAGAGAGGATACTACAGATCTAACAAGCCTAAGACAGAACTATATATATTGACCTGGAAAGCCATGATAAATATAGGAAAGCAAATCTCAAAAGAATAAATTCCAAATTGTTAGCAGTGTTTACCAGGAGGAGATTTGGGAGCACTCTGCTTGTTGTCTCTGGAAAACAAGCAAACAGATTTCTGCCAAAAGCTATATAATTTGTCAAGGTTTAATTAGGTTTTAATTAAATTAATTTAATTTTTATATCTTTATAGTCATTTCCGTGCATGGAGAATTATCATATCACTTCTCAGCCTTTTGGCTAAGGTCAAGTGTAGTATCTGTTCTCAATTTAATATCTGATATGTCCTAAATTAAAAACAAACAAAAAAAAGAATTATTGTAAAGGGGAGATAAGAGAAGCCAGAGAATCCATGGCCATGCGAAATAAGGCCTAGTCCCTATGCCAGAAGAGAGTGTGCTGCATGATCCTTAAGAATCTGACTCAGGCCAGACTTGGTGGCGCACTCCTGTAATCCTGGCACTTTGGGAGGCTGAGGCAGGCAGATCACCTGAGGTCAGGAGTTCGAAACCAGCCTGGCCAACATGTTGAAACCCTGTCTCTACTAAAAATACAGAAAATTAGCTGGACATGGTGGTGGGCACCTGTAATCCCAGCTACTCGGGAGGTCGAGGCAGGAGAATCACTTGAACCCAGGAGCTGTAGGTTGCAGTGAGCCGAGATTGCGCTGTTGCACTTCAGCCTGGGCAACGAGCAAAACTCCATGTCAAAAAAAAAAAAAAAAAGGGAGAGAGACATTCTTTGCCAAGAGTCGCCACAGTTTCCTGCTTCAGTGCTTGGATGGAACCCAGCGCTCGTCCCCCATCCTGGCCAGCCACCCATAGCCAGCCCTCCGTCACCTCCACACTGCGCCCTTGGACTGCCCGAAGGCCCCCTCTGCCACTCCAGCACCACACAGCCACCACCTCTCCTTACCCGCCACCATGATGACCACTTCCTCCTTGCAGGTGCGCCAGAACTATCCCCAGGACTCAGAGGACACCATCAACTGCCAGATAACCTGGAGCTCTATGCCTCCTGTGTCTACCTGTCCATGTCTTACTACTTTGACCATGATGATGTGGTTTGAAGAACTTTGCCAGATACTCTTCACCAATCTCATGAGGAGAGGCAACATGCTGAGAAACTGATGAAGCTGCAGAACCAATGAGGTGGCCAAATCTTCCTTCAGGATATCAGGAAACCAGACAATGTTGACTGGGAGAGTGGGCTGAATGAGATGGAGTGTGCATTACATTTGGAAAAAAATATGAATCAGTCACTACTGGAACTGTACAAACTGGCCACTGACAAAAATGACCCCCATTTGTGTGACTTCATTAAGAGATATTACCTGAATGAGCAGGTGACATCCATCAAACAATTGGGTGACCACGTGACCAACTTGGGCAAGATGGGAGCATCCCAGTCTGACTTGGCAGAATATCTCTTTGACAAGCACACCCTGGGAGACAATGATAATGAAAGCTAAGCCTTAGGCTGATTTCCCCATAGCCATGGGGTGACTTCCCTCGTCACCATGGCAGTGCATGCATGTTGGGGTTTCCTTTACCTTTTCTATAAGTTGTATCAGACATCCACTTAAGTTCTTTGTACAATTCCTTCAAATAAAGTACCCTCCCCCCCAAAAAAAAGAAAAAGAATTTTCTTTTAAACATAAGAAAACTACTCATCCTCACTCATAGTAAGAGGATTGCAAATGAAATCTACATTGAGATACAACTTTTTACCTATCAGGTAGTCACAGATCAAAAGGTTTATTAACACAGTGGAAAAGAGGGTAAAAAAACTGGCATGCTCGCCGGGCACAGTGGCTCATGCATGTAATCCCAGTACGTAGGGAGGCCGAGGCGGGCAGATCACCTGAGGTCGAGAGTTCAAGATCAGCCTGACCAACATGGAGAAACCCCATTTCTACTAAAAATACAAAAATTAGCTGGGCATGGTGGCGCACACCTGTAATCCCAGCTACTCGGGAGGCTGAGGCAGGAGGATGGCTTGAACCCAGGAGGCAGAGCTTGCAGTGAGCTAAGATTGAGCCGTTGTACTCCTACCTGAGCAACAAGAGCAAAACTCAGTCTTAAAAAAAAAAAAAGTGGCAAGCTCATACTTTGTTATTGGAAGTGAAATTGGAGAAATTTCTATGGAGATTAGGTACTTAGCTCTATCTGTTAAAGTTATAGTTGCAAATACCATTTTATCTTGCTCCTCCTAAGAATTTATCCCATAATCTCAGACAAGAGTGAAATAACGTATTGCCAAGTTGTTTGATGCAAAATTAGAATTAACCTGAATATCAAGCAACAGGTGGTTAAAATTGTCTGGCAGATCCATAAGATATTATTCTATATAGCTGTAAAAAGGAGTGAAATTACATTTTGTATAGTGATGGGAAATAATCTCTAGTATACATTATTAAGTGAAAAAAGACAGTATAGAATAGTGTGTATAGTATTCTGCCTTTTATGTAAAAATGTAATGGAGAACACAGTGTACACAAAAAATTACTCAACATGGATCAAAGACCTAAATGTAAGAGCTAAAACATAAAATTCTTAGAAGAAAACACGGCAATAAAACTTTGTACACAAGTGATTAAAGAAAATTGAGAAATTGGGCTTAATCAAAATTAAAAATGTTTGTGTTTCAAAGGCCATTTTTAAAAAGTCAAAGAAAATCTGTAGACTGGCTGTGCACAGTGGCTCACACCTGTAATCCCAGCATTTTGGGAGGTCATGGTGGATAAATCATGAGGTCAAGAGATCAAGACCATCCTGGCCGACATGGTGAAACTCTGCCTCTATTAAAAATACAAAAATTAACTGGGCGTGGTGGCATGCGCCTGTAGTCCGAGCTACTCAGGAGGCTGAGGCAGGAGAATCGCTTGAACCCAAGAGGCAGAGGTTGCAGTAAGCCGAGATCGCGCCATTGCACTCCAGCCTGGCAACAGAGCAAGACTCCGTCTCAAAAATAAAAAATAAAAATACAAAATTAGCTGGGTGTGGTGGTGTGTGCCTGTAATCTCAGCTAATTGGGAGACTGAAGCAGAAGAATCACTTAAACCTTGGAGGTGGAGGTTGCAGTGAGCCAAGATTGCTCCATTGCCCTCCAGCTTGGGCAACAAGAGTGAAAATCTGTCTGAATAAAAAAAAAAAAAGGAAATCTATAGACTGGAAGAAAATAGTTGCAAATCATATATCTGACAAGGGACTTGTGTCCAAATATATAAAGAACTCATATTTTAATTCAATAAAAAGGCAACCCAGTTAAGAAATGGGCAAAGGATTTGAATGTGAACATTTCTCCAAGCAAGGCATATGAATGGCCAGTAAGCACATGAAAAGATGCTCACCATTTGTTGCTGGGGAAATACAAATCAAAACCATGATGTGATATACTTCACATTCATTAGAATGTCTATAACAAAGAAGGTAAATAGTCACAAGTGTTGACAAGGATGTGGAAAAGTTGGAGCCCTCATATGTTGCTGGTGGGAATTTAAAATAATATAGTTGCTTTGGAAAAGTTTGACAGTTTCTGAAAATGTTAAACATAGAGTTGCCATATGGTCCAGCAATTCTCTTAAGTATCTACCTCAAAGAAATGAAAACACATGTTCACACTTTTCTACAAATGTTCACGTCAGCATTATTTAATAGTCAAAAAGTAGAAATGACCCCAAAATTCTATCGGTTGATGGATTGATAAAGTATGGTATGTCCTTCCATATATGACATGTCCAGGATAGCCAGATCTTTACAGACTGAAACTAGAGCAGTAGTTGCTTGTGGCTGGGAGTGAGAATGGGTTGGGGGGAATGCGGAGTGACTGCTGATGGGTACTTTTGGGGACAAGAAAAATGTTCCAAAGTTGGTTTACAATGATGATTGTACAGTTGTGTAAATGTATTAGAAACCATTGTAAACTTTAAATAGGTGAATATTATGATACGTTAATTATATCAAGCTTTTTGAGAAGAATTGTGTATGTGTATACATTTGTTTTTATATATATCTAATGTTGCCTCTATGGTTAGAAATTGGGTGGCCTGGAATAGGAATATAAGGAAGACTTCACCATATCCTTTGTTTTTTTCATTTTTCTACATGATCAAAATCATATCCTTTTCTACTTTTTGGATTTTGAATCTTGTATATTTCTGATTCAGAAGACCCTAAATGCTGACAGTTTTCTCCCTCACCTCATCCCCACAGTTGCAGGATTGCATATATTGAATTCAAGTCACAAGCTGAGGCAGAGAGAGCCCTGGAAGAAAAGCAGGGAGCAGAGGTTGATGGGCTTGCCATAGTTCTGGACCATATTGAAGAGAAAAGCAGGGCCAAAAAAATAGAGATTGAAAGAACAGGACTTGGAGAGGTGAGTGGTCCCAGAGCTCTGTGGATTGAGAGTCACCAGGGTTGTTGCAGGGGGGTCCCAAGGGAGGGGCTGGTATGAGTTTAAGGGCACTCAGCACTTTATCTTTTTTTTTTGAGACAGAGTTTTGCTATCGTTACCCAGACTGGAGTGCAATGGCATGATCTTGGCTCATCGCAACCTCCGCCTCCTGGGTTCAAGCAATTCTCCTGCCTCAGCCTCCCGAGTAGCTGGGACTACAGGCACGCACCACCACTCCCAGCTAATTTTTGTATTTTTAGTAGAGACGGGGTTTCACCTTGTTGACCAGGATGGTCTCGATCTCTTGACCTCATGATCCATCCGCCTCGGCCTCCCAAAGTGCTGGGATTATAGGCGTGAGCCACCGCGCCCGGCCTATCTTTTTTTATTATTATTTTGAGACAGGGTCTCACTCCCTTCATCCACACAGGAGTGTGGTGGCACAGTCACCACAGTCTCAACTTCCTGGGCTCAGGCGATCCTCCCACCTCAGCCTCCTGAGTAACTAGGATGGGAGGGCCACTCAGCACTTCAAAATGCAGTTTCCTCTGTATTGAAAGTGAATCATTCTCATAATTACATTAAACTGATTAATATTGTCCTAGTTAACTGTAACCTGATGTCTGCAAAATAAATGGCACTTTGAAATCCATCAGTTGGCCAGACATGGTGGCTCATGCCTGTTATCACAGCACTTTGGGAGGCCAAGGTGGGTGGATCATTTGAGCCCAGGCTAAGACTGGCCTGGTCAACATGGCAAAACCCTGTCTCTGCAAAAAATACAAAAATTTGCCAGGCGTGGTGGTGCGTGCCTGTAATCCCAGCTACTTGAGAGGCTGAGGTAGGAGGATGACTTGAACCTGGGACATGGAGGTTGCAGTGAGCCAAGATCACACCACTGCACTCCAGCCTGGGCAACAGAGCCAGACCTTGTCTCAAAAAAAAAAAAAAGAAACCCATCAGTTTATTTTTTCTTTTTGGGCACCCTCTAGGATTCTGTTTGAACAAGTTCTTAAATCTGTGGTTTCAGAATTAGATATTTAATTCTCTTCAGATACTAATTTTCTTCAAGTAGTGTTCTTGGAGGTTTAAACCAATGACCCCAAACCAGTGCCCTGAACTTGCCTATTCTGATCAGCAAACTGTTGCTTACAGAGTAAGAGACAATTGAATTTGTTATGAGTATTTCAAAAGTCAAGAAATTTCACATAAAACCCTGGGTTTCCAGCTTCTTTTGATACAACAAAAAATCTGGCCAGGTGCGGTGGCTCACACTTGTAATCCCAGCACTTTGGGAGGCTGAGGTGGGTGGATCGCTTGAACCCAGTTTGAGACCAGCCTGGGCAGCATGGAGAGACTCCCATCTGTACAAAGATAAAATAAAATTATCTGGGTGTGGTGGTGCGTACCTGTAGTCCCAGTTTACTCAAGAGGCTGAGGTGGGAAGATTGCCTGAGCCCAGGAGGTCGAGGCTACAGTGAGCCATGATGGTGCCACTGCACTTCAGCCTAGGTGCCAGAGTGAGACCCTATCTATCGAAAAAAAAAAAAAGGAAAGAAAATCAGGTGGCACGGTGGCTGCATTCCCACATGGCAGCAGTTGACTGGTGATGAGAAGTAGCTGCTTCCTCTTAGGTGTGGCCTTTGCTGTTGTTTGCTGGTAACCCCCACAGTTCCTGAGGGGAAACAGCAGTGGTGTGGAAACTTACACTTTTAAACATAGAGTTAATACCTTTTTCTTAGAAAATAACACTTTTTTCTTATAGTAAAGGTGACATGGCTGGGCACGGTGGCTCATGCTTATAATCCCAGTACTGTGGGAGGCTGAGACAGGCAGATCATGAGGTCAGGAGTTCGAGACCAGCCTGTTTAATGGTGAAACCCAGTCTCCACTAAAAATTCAAAAATTAGCTGGGCATGGTGGTGCACGCCTGTAATCCCAGCTACTTGGGAGGCTGAGGCAGAAGAATTGCTTGAACCCAGGAGGCAGAGGTTGCAGTGAGCCGAGATCACACTATTGCACTCTAGCCTGGGTGACAGAGTGAGACTTTGTCTTGGGGGAAAAAAAAAGAAAATGACATTTTAATATTTCTTATGCATTTGTCTGTTTCACAAGTGGAAAGACAAAGTACAGAACAAGACAACCACACTGTTCAAGAAAAATGGGAGAAGCCTATTTTATTTGTGGAGGTAAAGAATGTCCCTACATGTTTAATACGCAAGCAAAGTCTTTCTGTGTCAAAAGAGCATACCCTAAGCCACCACTATGAAACAAACCACAGCAAGAACCATGAGGGATATACAGAAAAGTTGAGTGACAAAAAAACCTAATGAACTGACAAAAAGACAGATTTCAACATGATTTGCTTTTGAATGTGAATAAAATAGGTGATGCTGCTACGAAGTGTAGTTATATATTAAATGAGAAAATTGCCTGGGCATCCAAACCTTTTACAGATGGGGAGTTTAAAAAGAATGTTTGTTGAGTGCAGCAGAAATTATGTGCCTGGAACAGAGACAAGCTTTGGCAAATAGAAGACTACCTGGTAATATTGTTGCTCAGCATGTTGATGATATGGCTGAAAACTTACAGGACAAGTTTCAGGAAAAAGTGAAATCATTTGTGGCTTTCTCTCTTGCAACTCATGAGAGTGCTGATATAAATAATGTTCCCCAGTTGGCTGTGTTCATTCATGGTGCTGATGAAACTTTTGATGTGACTGAAGAACTTTTAGATACCGTACCCATAACAGGCATAGCATCAGGAAATGACATAGTTTTATGTGTTGATAAAAGTCTTAAAAAATTTAATGTAGACTGGTCAAAATTAGTAAGCGTTAGCACAGATGGTAATTCTGCAATGGTTGGTGTTAAACAATTTGTTACAAAACTGAAATCTAAGGTGGCAGGGCTTTGCAAAAGCAGAGCTTAAGTCTGTGCATGGCCTCATTCTCCAGGAACCACTTTGTGCTAAAAAGTTAAAAATGGATCACGTCATGGACATTGTAATTTGCAGCATAATCTGGATACATTCCCATGGCTCAAACCACAGCAAGTTCAACACTTTTTTCAGTGAGTTGGATGCACAATGTGGAAACCTGTTCTACCACAAGGAAGTGAAGCGGCTGAGGCGTGGTATGGTGCTAAAGCGGTTGTTTGAACTGTTGGAAGAAATTGATTTTTTCATGTCTTCTAAAGGAAAATCTGTGCCTCAGCTCACTGACAAAAATTGGGTCAAAGTCTTAGCATTTTTGATTGACATTACAACACATCTGAATACACTGGATATTTCTCTGCAAAGGCGTTCACAAGTGGTTACACAAATGTATGATTCCATTCATTTATTCCTAGCAAAATTGTGTCTTTGGGAAACTCATTTGACAAGGAACAATCTGGCCCACTCCCCTACACTGAAATTAGTTTCTGAAAATGAAAGTGATGGCCTGAATTATATTCTAAAAATTAAAGAGTTGAAGACTGAATTCCAAAAATGATTCTCTGATATCAGTTCTTTATGAAAATGAACTGATATTGTTCAGTTTACCTTTCTTGATTAATCATGTGAATGAAGAGCTGCAAATGGAAGTTATTGAATTGCAGTCAACACTATACTGGAAACTAAATATGATGATGTGGGAATCCCAGAATTCTGCAGATACCTGGGGAATGGTTACCCTAAATTTAAAAACCATTGTGCAAAGATTCTGTCCATGTTTGCAAGTACCTATGTTTATGAGCAGTTATTTTCTATCATGAAAGCAAATAAAACTAAATATTGGTCCCAGTTAGGAAAGATGAATTCTCTGCTGCACGTGGCTATACAAGATTCATAACCTGATGTTGATTGATACCTTGGAGCATAAGAAAGGAATGTTAGATTTTGGATTTCAAATCTGAGAAGTAATAAATTATCAAACTTGGGATAATTATTTTCACATTATATTTTTAATAGCAAATTTAGATAACATCTCTGGCATTATATATGTCTGTTAAATCTTATATCATATAAAATAAAGTTGGATTATACTTCTGGTGGTTTTTTACACCTCACCTTTCTGGTCTTTAAGAGTTATTCAAGTTTGGCCGGGCGCGGTGGCTCAAGCCTGTAATCCCAGCACTTTGGGAGGCCGAGGTGGGTGGATCCACGAGGTCAAGAGATCGAAACCATCCTGGTCAACATGGTGAAACCCCATCTCTACTAAAAATACAAAAATTAGCTGGGCATGGTGGTGCGTGCCTGTAATCCCAGCTACTCAGGAGGCTGAGGCAGGAGAATTGCCTGAACCCAGGAGGCGGAGGTTGCGGTGAGCCGAGATTGCGCCATTGCACTCCAGCATGGGTAACGAGCGAAACTCAGTTTCAAAAAAAAAAAAGAGTTATTCAAGTTTACAAACTTCTGCCCTAAAAGAAGCCACATTTTTTTTTAAAGACACTTGTAAGCCTGGAATGTGAACCAAGGAGTCAGCTGGATGAACTGAATGTTTAGACACCTAATGCAATCCTATCCCTAAGCACAAGAGGCCTGCCACAGTCATCCTGGGGTTCAGGCCAGGGTAACTAACCCCCTTCCCTGTACAGCCTGG